TGTGGCTAATGTTTCCAAAACTAAATTGAACAGGAGTGGTGATAGTGGGCATCCTTGTCTTGTTCCTGATTTTAGTGTGAAAGTTTTCAGTTTTTGACCATTTAGTATGATGTTGGCTGTTAACTCATTTTATTTTATATTAACACATTTTACTTGGAACTATTCTCAATGAAATGCTAAAATTCAAACTTCTTATAAACAAAAACACCATTAAATCTATGTTTAGAAACAAACCTTCAAGATTACCAATTCCAAACCATCTTCCCTTTAGTGACTGAGAGCATCATCTTGTTTACTAAGCTACTAGTTGGAATAAACAATAATCATATTTAATCTGAGAGAGAGAAACTTTTAAACAAGTATATAAAATTAAGTTATTTTCCCACTCCAGGGAAAGGATATGGCTTAAAATGCTAGCGGGTTGAATAGGTTGAATGTGTTGAGTTCACTGGAAAGAGAAGCAGGAAGTGAGGTCATGGTGCAGGAGAAAATATGGCTCCACATGATAAAGCTATAGCCACCATGAATAGTTATTTCTCCTCTCCCTGCTCTTTCCGTGGCCACCCCCCCCCCCAAATCAGTCACCAAGAATCACTTTCATGGGTCATATAGCCCATGGTTACAAATTTTGTGAGAACTAAACCCTCCTAACCAAAAGTAATTCATTGAGCATTCTTACATTGTGTTTTGCTCCATCTTTGTTGGTGCAATGACATAAACACAGGGTCTCTTCCTTCTCAGAACTTAGAAAAGAACCATGAGGGATAGTGAGTATTTCATCTATTTATTCATTCATTCCATCAAATGATATTTTATTAATTAACTCAATGTACAAGTTTTAAGAAAGAGGAGTGTAAATCATTTTCTAAAAACTCCCAAATGAGAGTTATCCTTCAGGTTAGTTCCTGAGTGAATTTTTCATAGTGAATATTCATAAACCCACAAAGTAAAAACTCGAGAAGGTAAGAAGTGGTTGGGAAAACTGCAAAATTAGATTTTAATCATTCAGTAAGTGATGGGCTTGAAACTATCATTCTCCACAAGTCAAGTACTGTAGTCCTGTGATGGCCACTGAGCTGTGTTTGAGGGAATGATTTCCTTTCTGAACAGGTATTTGGAGCTTCAGGGAAAAGTGACCAGGCCTGTGGAGCAAGTGGTGGCAGAAACAATGCTGAAGTGTTCGATGCAGCAGGACTCACTGTCCTCACCAATGCAAATGCAAATGATTCCCAACAAACTGGTAATTAATTCTGTTTCCCCACTAAGAAACATAAATATTCTTATTATAAAAATAAGTGCTTTTCCTGCCCTGCACTTATTCTTTCTCAAATCCTGCCTCCACAACATTTCTTTCTTTAAAATTAAAATAATTATATTTTGGGGTAAGAACACTTAACATGAAATCTCTCCTCCTGGCAAATGGTTAAGTGTAAAATACATTATTGTTGACTGTAGATACAGTGTTACATGGAGAAGATCTGTAGAGCTTATTTAACCTGCTTTAATGAAAATTATGCCCATTGATTAGGAAGTCCCAAGTTCCTCTTCCCCTGCCCCTAGCAACTATTATTCCACTCTTACATTCTATGATTTTGACTATTTTGCGTCCCTCATGTAAGTTGTATCATGCACCATTTTTCTTTCTGTGACTGGTTTATTTCATTTAGCATAACATCCTCAAGTTTCAATTATGTTACTGCATATTGTAGAATTCTCTTCTTTTAAAAAGCTGGATCAGATTCCATTGTATGCATATATCATATTTTCTTTATCCATTTATCTGTTAGTGAACATTTAGGTTGTTTTCCCATCTTAGCTATTGTCAATAGTACTGCAATTAATATGGGAATCACAGTACTTCCTTAAGATTCTGATTTTAATTCTTTTGGATCAATACCCAGAAGTGGGATTACTGCATCATACAGCATTTCTATTTTTATTTTTTTGAGGAACTTCCATAGCAGCTGCATTATTTCACTTTTCCACCAACAGTGTACAAGGGTTTCAATATCCCCATAGGTTCACCAACACTTCCTACCTTGTTTTTAATAATAGCCATCCTAATAGGTATGAAGCAATATCTCATTGTGGTTTTGACTTGCTTTTCTCAAATATTTAGTGATGTTGAACACTTCTTAATATAACTATTGCCCATTTGTATGCCTTCTTATAATAAATGTCCATTCAAACCCATACCCCATTTAAAAAATTAGATTATTAGCTAGCTTTTTTGACTATCAAGTTGTAGGAGTCCTTCATATATCTGGAGATTAATTTCATATCAAACATGTAGTTTGAAAATATTTTTCCTGTTCTATATATTGCCTTTTTACTCTGTAGATTATTTCCTTGCTGTGCAAAAGTATTTTAGTCTAATGCAATACTACTTATTTACTTTTTTGTTGTTGTTTAGGGCATTGGTGTTATATTTGTGACATAATTTCTTTTTTCAGGGGGGTACCGGGGATCAAACTCGGGACCTTGCACTTACGAGGCAGGCAGCAGAACCACTGAGCCAAATCCCTGGCCCAGTGACATCATTTCTAAGACCAATATCAGAAAGGTTTTCCCATGTTTCTTCTAGTAGTTTTACAGTTTGAGGTCTTATACTTAAATCTTTATTCCATTTTGAGTTGATTTTTATACAGAAAACAAGGTCCCAATTTCATTCTTTTGCTTGTATTTTGTTTTCCCAACACCATTTGTTGAAAAGACTATCTTTTTCCTACTGCACATTCTTGGCACCCTTTTCAAAGATTAGTTGACCATCATATGTTGACTATTTTTGGGCTCTCTAGTCTCTTCCATTGAAAATATATATATTTGTTAGTACCATACTGTTTGATTACTGTATTTTGAAATCAGGTATTGTGATTCTTCCATCTTTGTTCTTCTATTGGTTTTCTTATTCATGTTCATTTGTGGTTCTAAACAAATTTTAGAATTGTTTTTTCTAATTCTGAAAAAAAATACCACTGGGATTTTGATAGAGATTTCACTGAATCTGTAGACCATGTTGAATAGCATGGACATTGTAACAATAGTAAGCCTTCTAATTCTTTCCATTTTTTTTGTACCTTCTTTAATTTCTTTCATTAATTTCAACATATAAGTCTTTCACCTTCTTAAGATTGTCCTAAGTATTGTATTCTACTCTTATTTTAAATGGAATCATCCTTAATTTTCTTTTTAGATATTCCATTGTTAATTTATATAAATGCAAATGATTTTTGTTTTCTGGTACTGGGAATTGAACTCAGGGCCTTGCATTTGCCAGGTAGGAGGGCATCATTGAGCTACATCCTTGGCCCTGCAAGTGATTTTTGTATGTTATTTTGTATTCTGCAAATTTACTGATCTAATTTTTAGTTCTAACAGTTTTTCTACATGGAATTCTTTAAATTTTTCTATAAATAAATATCATGTCATCTCAAAGAGAAACAATTTTACTTTGCCCTTTCCAATTTTATCTTTTTCTTGCCTAGTAGTACTCTACTAGTATTTCCCATACAATGTTAAAAAGAAGTACTGAGAGTGGACACCATTAACTTTTTCTTGATCTTAGAGGAAAAGCTTTCATTTTTAACACTGACTATAATGTTAACTGTGAGCTTTACATGTACAGTCTTTACTATGCTGAGTTGGTTTCCTTCTAATCTTAGTTAAGAGTTTTTATTGTGAAAGGATGTTAAATGTCAGTAAATTTTTTTCCTTAAATATGATTATGGAATGATGTTGAATTTCATTAAGTGGTTTTAACTTTCATTGTGTTAATGTGTTATCACACATTTATTTATCACTGCACCTTGAACCATCTTGGCATCAAGGGATAAATCTCACTTGATCACAGTGCATGAACTTTTAATATGTTGGATTTGTATTTTGGTAAGTGTTTCTGGATCTATGTTCATCAAAGATATCAGCCTCTTATTTTCTTTGCAGGCTTTAGTATCAGGGTAATGTTGTCTTCACAAAATGAGTTTGGAATTGTCTCTTCAGTTTTGGGGGAAGAGTTTGAGAAAGATTGGTGTTAATTATTCTTTACATATTTGTTAGAATTCACCAGTGAAGCCATCTGATTCTTTGCTTTTCTTCATTGGTAGGGGTTTATTGTAATTATTATCACTGATTCAATTTCCATATTTTTGTTTAAATAAATTATTATATTTAATCTGTCAAAAGTGATAGAGAAATTATGAATTACCCCTAACTAGTATGGAATTCATTATAATTTGATGGTAATGGGAGACAATTCCACCCATAATGATACCTTGTACTCAGTAAGATGTTATTAACATTACTAGAATGAACTATTCTTTCATTCTTGAGGATAGGGACAGGATTTAATGAAGTATTGGGTTTCTTGCCTGGAAGAAAGGAGTACTCACTAAATACATTTTAAAGAGATAAACAAACCACCTTAAAATGTGTGCATTTGGTGCTTTTTAAGAAATCATATTTGAGCTTCTTGAAACAATACACTTGCAAAGAGCGCATAATGACACTGCTACCAAGACACATTTACTCTAATTGTGTATATCCTTTTACTAATGGTACAGATCAGGATTACTGTGGGAAATAGAACAAGATATCTGATAAAATGGGTTTGCTATGACTCTGCAACTGCTTTCAGTACTTAGATAATTTGATGGAAATGTTTATTCTGAGGAACATTCTCTCTGTTTTTTTAACAGATGGATCATATAAGAACATTCACAGATCAAGAAGATCCGTGAAAGAGCAAATAGACAATCTAGGTGCTCCAAAGTTTCATTTTTTTCCCAGAAGTTATAATGAAATAACTGCATGTGCAATATTTTGTAATTCTAGCTAATTGCTGTAGAAAAGGTGAAAAGATCTAAAGGCACTTCCCACTTTTATTTTCCAGAGAGATAAAGCAAACTGAGTAAATTAACCCACATTGGTTTAGTACAGTCTTAACCTAAAAGAAATAGGTATCCTTCATGTCCATTCTCTATGGTTACAGAGTCACGAGATATTGCCTGTGCATTTTATTTTCTATCAGAGTAGCTAGCACACCAGTTAAATGTAGGGCTTCCATTAAATTCTCACAAAAACTAGTTCTGATGAACTGTAAGGCTAAAATAGTAGGTAAGACTAATAGAATTCTTACGGTATTCCAGGCACTGTTCATGCTCCATAATCATATTTTCTTGTTGAATACTCACATTTATCACATGAAATAGGTACTCTTATTATTCTCATTTTCCAGATGAAGAGATGGAAACACAGAAAAAATTAAGTAACATGTTCAAAGTCATGGGGAAGTAGTAAATGGCAAAGGCAGAATTCAAATTTGAATAGGACTGGTATCAAAGCCCCTGCTTTGTTGAGGATATTTTTTCTCTGCCTCACAGAGCTTTGAGAATAAAATGAGATTGTGCTGGTGAAACACTTAGCTCAGGAAGAACTCAGTAAATGGTAATTTATAATACTTGATTCCTTTTAGAACTTCCTTCTTGGCAATGCCGTACTCCAAGCTGGCCAGACAGGAATTGTAATCAGTATTTTGTCATTGCATAGTGAGTTTCTGAAAACTCAACTATCTTGGCAAGTTTAAAAACTGGGAGAGGAGCAGCCCTTTTATACTGTGGTCCAATCATCTCCCTCATGATGTTGGCTCTTGGCTCCAGGCCTGGCTCTGGTCCCTAGCAGCTGTGACTACTTCACACCTCTGTTGCCTCATCTCTAAGCGACGGAAAAGGATTTCATCAACTCTAAAGTCCCCTTCGTTTTTTTCTTTTTGGTATTGCTTTTGTTTTTAAGTAAATGTTCTTCCAAATACCCACCCAGACTTGTAGCTTGACTGCCTTGATCAAAGAAGTATAACTGTATGAAGGTTTGGAAACCAGTGATGTCATAGGAAAACAGTCTAAATTAAGGCAAGACCATACTATCAAGTACTGAGTAATTACTAGAAAGAATGAAGCACAAGAGGATTAACCCTGTCGGTACCAATAAGGGTACGAGTGACAGTAGAGTTTGGTTTAGAAGATGTCAGGAAGAATTTTTCTGCAGTGACACCCTCTGAAATAGAATTGGCTGCCTCACAAGGAACAATTTCCTATTTTGAGAGCTATTCCAGCAGGAAGACTGTTGACCACTGGTACTAGATGGGAGTGAGGCAGAGGGCACCAGGGAGGAAGTTGATTCAGAGCCGCTAAGTTCAGACCTGAGACTTTGAATCTGTACTTGGCTGAGAACAGTTGAATTGTCCCTGCAGCATCCCAGTTCAAACACCCTTTCATCCAGAAGTGCTGTTATGATGGAGCCCGTGAAAGTGAGGACAGCTGCATGGAGAGAGCAGTGCGGATTACTTTCGGCCCCAGGTGCATCGCAGCTTTCTCTCAGTGCTGCAGCCTGGCAAGCGAGTTGCGGAACAGCTCTGCTTACAAGGTACCAATTTTGGGACGAGCACCAGGTATGTGTAAAAGCTCCTGCTCCTTGTACAGTGCAGTGGGAGGGTACCAGGTGGATTTTGTGCTGCCTCCGGAAGTAATTCCAAATTTGATTTAATGTACAAAAGACAAAGTAAACTACTGCAAAACAACTCAAAAAAGCAAAGCAGGCCACTAGTAATACCAATTTGGACCCCACTAATCTCAGCATTACCACTAACCCATGTGGAGGTTGCAGGTCTTTATCTATCCTCTTAAGAGCTAATTTGTAAAATGAAAATATTTTTACAACATAATTCTTTGGTATTCATTTGTGCAGACTTCACCGGTCACACATAGCAGGATGCTTAAAATCTTGCCTATAAACAACAGGCTACTTTTAAGGGTCAAAATATTATTCTTAATTTCATCACAAACCATAGCCAACAAGAGATATTAGAAGTAAAAGAAATGCCAATAAACACACATGAAAAGGATTCCCCAAAGTTCATTTCCACATAGCTTGCATGCAAAAGAAAGATGAATAAAACTTACTAAAATGTGTTTAATTTTACTGACCTACTTTGAGTCTACTCTCTTTGGTTTTGTTTATATTATTTAACAAGACTATTTGACAGAGTATAGAAATTAGCTAAGAGTTGCAGTTTTAGTTGAAAATTGTATTAAAAAAGTAAATTACTTGTTTAAAAGATCTAATGACTTTCTTATGCCTTTCCATGAATCTATAAAAGTACTGTTATTGGATTTTTCAAGGTTTTTGTGTCTTCTTGGTTCAGTTTCGGTAATTCATATGAGTCTAGAAGTCCATCCATTTCTTCTGAGTTCTTCAATTTATTGGAGTACAGGTTCTCAAAGTAGTTACTAATAATTTTCTGGGTTTTGGCAATGTACATTTGATTTCACCCTTTTCATTTCTAATTGCATTTATTTGGGTCTTTTCTTTCCGTTTTTGGTAAGATTGGTTAAGAGTTTGTCTATTTTGTCAATTTTTTGAAAGGCCAACTCTCTGATTCATTGATCATTTAAATTATTTTTTTAGTCTCAATTTCATTAATTTCTGTTCTGATCTTTATAATTTTCTTCCTTGTATTGGCTTTGGATTTTTTTTCTAGGACCTTGAGGTGTATCATCGAGTTGTTTATTTGGATTTATTCTGTTTTTTTGATGTGAGTATTCTCACCAATAACCTTCCTTTTTAGGACTGCTTTCATTGTGTCCCATTAATTTCTGGCATATTGTACTGGTATTGCTGTTTGATTCTAGGAACTGTCTAATTTCTTCCTTGATTTCTTCTTTGACCTATTGATTATTCAAAACACTACTGTTTAATTTCTTTGTATTTGCATAATTTCTGTGGTTTCTTCTGTCACTGATTTCTAGTTTCACTGCACTGTGTTCTGATAATATTCAGGGGTAATTTTGATTTTTTTTTTTTGCATTTCTTTAACCATGGCTTTGGGATACCATCTGGTTTATTGTGGAGAAAGTTCCACATGCTGCTGAGAAGAAAGTATTTTCTGTTGTTGGGTGGGACACTGTAGACATCTATTAAGTTTGTTTGTTTAAAGGTTTTATTCAGTTCTGATATTTCTTTGTTGATTTTTTTTTGTCTAATTGATCTATTTGTGATAATAGGGTATTGAGGTTGTCCACTATAATTGTGTTGATGTTTAGCTGATCTTTTATGTCCATTAGTATTTGTTTAATGAAATTGGGCATGCTGGCATTTGGTGCATATATGTTTGTAATTATTATCTCTTCCAGTTGAATTGTTCCCTTAATCAATATGTAGTGACCTTCTTTATCTCTTCTGATCAGTTTTGGCTTGAAGTCCACTTTGTCTAAAAGTAGGACAACTTGTGCTTGTTTTCTGGTTTCCCTTGTGTGAAATATTGTTTTCCATTATTTGATTTTTAGTCTTTGCATTCCTTTTAGAATTAAATCTGTTTCTTGAATACAGCATATTGTTGAGTTTTGTTTCTTGCATTCTGCCAATCTGTGTCTTTTGATTGAGGGAATTCAGACAATTCATGTGAGAGTTATTACTAATTTCTCCCTTGATTTCTAATTACTAATTACTAATTTTTCCCTTGATTTGAGAGGTATTGAGATTCCTTTCATTGGATTATTTTCCTGTTGCTTATTTCCTTTCTGGTTAACTGCTGATCCTGCCTTCAATTAGACTTTTTGGTGTTGTTGGCTTCATTGTCTCTTTCTGGGATTTCCTTGAGAAGTTTTTGTAGTACTGGTTTGGTAATCATGAATTATTTTAGGTGTCCTTTATCACGGAAATTGTTTTTTCATCAATTTTGAAAGAAAATCTTGCAGGATATATAAGTCTGGGTTGGAAGGTGTTATCTTTCAAGGCTTGAAACACTTCAAGCTCTCTTGGCCTTTAAGATTTGTGTTGAGAAGTCTGCTATAATTCTAATGGATTTGCTTTTATAAGTGACTTGTTGCTTTTCTCTGATTCCTTTTCTCTAACAGCTTTTAAGATTCCCTCTCTGTGTTGGACTGTTGGGATTTTTGACTATGATATATCATGGAGAAGTTATTTTTTGATCACAGTTTTTTTGGCTTTTCTATGCCTCACTTATCTGCATGTTTAATTCTTTCTCTATACTTGGAAAGTTTTCTGCTAGTATTTCTGTAAACGGGCTTTTTATGTCATTTGTGCTATCTTCTGATTTTTAGCTAATTCCAATTAATCTTAAATTAATTTTCTTTAGGTCATCTTTCACCTGTTGAATTAATTTTTTTCTGATTGGTATCTTTTTGTGGACTCTAATTCTTTGCTAATCATTTTGTATAGATCATCTAGCTTTTTATTAGTGTCTTCTGTAAACTTTGGATCATTTTGTTTATTAATCCATTATCTGTTTAGTTAAATCTTCTTGAACTCCCTGAGCATCTTACTGAGTTCTTTATCTCCTCTGTTATCATTTTGAATATTTCAGCTATATGGCTTTTGATTTCCTTTCCCTTGATGCTCCATGGATCAGCTTTGGGAGAGCTGGGAGTTTGGGGAGACATTTTGTTGCCTTGTTTCTATTTTTGTTTTGGTGTGTTTGTTTTGGGGTGTGTGTGTGTGTGTGTGTGTGTGTGTGTGTGTACGCGTGCATGTGCTCATTGAGGTTTTTGAGAGCTTACAGTGAAATAACTTTGTTGCTCATATGAAGCTCTTTTAGTTAGTGTCTGCTTTTCAGTGATGTATTCTTGGTGTGGCTAACTATAAGCCTTTGCCTCTGTGCCAAGATCTGGTCACCTCTGTTAACTTGGGAGAAGAGGATGCAGTGTAATTGGCACCCTGTTCTCTGGAAATGAACTGCAGTGTGGTTAATGACACAGAGGCAATCCAGATAGTGGCATACAGAGAAAACCTATTAATAGCAACAACTATGCCCTCTGGTAATAGCAGCTAAATTAGCAACAATAAAATCTTCAAAGACAAGCTGAATATTGATATACTGTAAGGACCAATAATGTACCACCCTTAGCCATAACAGAGATCTATAATTATAGTATAAACACTAAGATGAACCAAATATCAACATACAGTAAAATCCACTAAATGTCACAACTATATATCCACTACCAATAGAAAAGATATTCAACAGTAATAGCATACAGTTAACTATCTAAGATTAATAAAGCTTAATAAGATTAATAAAGCTTAATTGTTATGCTAGTAAAGATAGAGTGGGTGAAGAATGGGAGAATGAAATAATAAAATTTTTGAAGTTAAGCAATGGAAGATAAGGAGGAGTGAAAAGTGAGATAAAGGATCCTATTAAGGAGTAAAAGGAAAATAATAGAACTAGATAAAAGTAGCAGAAAAGAACAAGTAAGAAAAAAGGGAAAAAAGAGAAAAAATTAAAAGGAAAAAGTAATGAAATTAAAACAAAAGAAAAAGGACAATTCTCCAACCCCCAAGAAAATCAGTGAAGAAGAAAGAAAAAAAATGAATCCAAGAAAAAAAATTTCTGTATATTTTTGATTGAATGGTGTCTTTCCAGGATCCACAGTTTTAGAATCCAGCAAGTCATGGTTTTCTCTGCCTAGCTTTACAGCCTGTGGGTTTGTGAGGTGCCCCTCTGTTCTAGAAACCCTTCTGTCCATTGACTCCACCCTGTGGCATCTGTCCAAGCTGAGGTATGTCCCTGCTCACATTGGTAGATGGGGAAAGTAATTAGATTTTTGATTTGTGCTGGATATAGGAAGCAGGACAAGGCCTTCGTCAAGCAGACTGCTGTATTTAATACCAGCACTTTCAGACCCCGCCACTTTTGAAAGCCACATACACCATTCTCAGTTTCTAATCACAGAGAGTAGGGTTCCATGTCCCTCCCCACCTCCATTTAAACTTCTCAGGGGGTCTATGTCCTAGCCAGTACTCTCTCTACAACTGACTCCTGTGCCTGTCTCTCACCCAGTCCCTGTGGGAGGGTGGGAATCTTGAAGTGAAGTTGTTGGTTTTTTAATTGTTCTTAGGCTCAGTCTTACGTAATCAACCCCTTCCTGAAATGGCATCTGATTAAACACTGTCTGGCAATACGACAGATGCCACACTGGATTCCTTCTCTAACTGTTGCCTATGATGTAGAAAGAGTCCCTTTTGGAGTAAAACCCCATGCTGTTATTGCAGCTTACAGTAGTCCTGGGCTTTCTTGGGTTTAATGCTGCTGGCCCAGTCCACTGTTTCTCCCTGGAGCTCCCAACCCTGCAGGCTTTCCTTGTGTTTGTGGAGACAGGTTCCCCAGATGGGAAGCTAGGGTAAGCTTCCAGACTGCTTCGTTCTTTTTCTCTGTGTTGTGGTCCATTTCTACAACTGCTCTGTAGTTTCTAATTTTCCTTTCAGTTTTCTCCTGATTCCCAGAGATCTACTTATTTTTTTCTTTTCACTAAGTTGTTAATTTCCAGGTGTCTGGATTCTGGGTCCCAGAGAGGCTGTATTTTGCTGCTAATTTCTACTCTGTCATTTTGGTTCTCCTCTATTTTTCTATTTTGATATCACAAAAATATATGTTTGACTAAATTCCTTGAAGTTTTTAATTAAAAGTTAAGACATCTTTAACATGTAACTCTATTGTATGTTATGCTTAACCTGTGCTTTTATTCTTCTAATAATTTAGTACCTCAAGAAAGGCCCACATATGTAGTCCGAAATCGAACTGCGATTGATTTAGAAAACTGGTTGTGGGAAGTACATCATGTCCCTAAAAGGTATTTCAAGGCTTTCATCTTTATTTTCTTCAAGAAATTTTTGAAAAATATTCAAGACATGATGAGCATACAGTCAGTTGCTCTTCCAAGAACTTCTTTCATAAATAAGGATAGAATTGACATTTGATCAAAGTTAATTTAATTGAGTTAGTTTTTTCCTCCTACCTGGATTAACTACAAAAGAAGGATCTTTGCAGAAGAATGTTATTTAACTTACCTTGAATTTCAACTAAGCAGGTAGTATGGAGTGAGACCTGGGCTTTACACTTTTTCAAACAACTTCTTTGTACCACCTCTAACAATGTACATTGCTCATTTTAGTCATGCATTTTCAGTACTATTTTTCCATATAACAAATGAAAATAGGTGATATTTCCTTAATACAATAAACATACACTATGAAACAGCCCACGAGATTTGGGAGGTGATTGGTTTTGTTCAGTAACCACACTTTGCTTGATGTCCAACAGTTCTTTATGCTCCATGACTCTACTTTTAACTACTTTTCTTTTCCAATTCATTCTCCAAACACAACTACCGAAGTGGTTATATTGGAATCCAAGTCTGATCATCCTGTTTCCCTACCTAAAACTACTCCGTGTCCTATCCAGTAAAGTCGATGTAAATTAAGAGCCCCTCCCCCAGCAGCTCCAGCTTTGTCTCCCAGCAGCCTTTTCTTTTACCCGCTATCGTACACTTTCTCTTCCAGCACACACACACACACACACACACACACACACACACACACACACACTCCTAGAAGACTTAGTACTTTTTATTGGAAATACTTTCTTAGACCCACACTCCTCACAAACTATACTTCACATTTTACAATCCAAAGAGTAGGTTCTCCAAAAAGTGGCCTCCAAAAAATTACATCCATAACTTTTCTGCTTTCATACTATAGTTTCTACATGCTTCTGTTGAAGGACATATGAACCTTTATGATAATTTGTTTCTTTACATATTTCTCTCTTCTAGAGTAACTTCATGGAAGGGAGACCTTTCTATTTATCCTATTTAGTACTAAGAATTTGTCTCATACATGTTAGTTAAGAAATGTACATGGGACACATAATTAACTAATGGATTTCTGATTTCTGAAAATTCTTTTTATTTCACCTATTTTTGCATACCCTATTTTTCTTAGTAGGTTTCCCTGAATATAATTAAATATTTAGTTGATAATTTATAATATAGTCTTTTGAAATCCTGATTATGGAGTAGATAAATGAACATGGAGTATAAAACATGGCAGTATGAATTAGGTTGGAGTATATGTATCTATTGGTATTCAAATATTTTTATCTATATAAATAGCAGTTCCATATATTTAACGTAATACAATGCATAGGCAATTTTTCTGAATGCATAAAATTCTCTCATCCTCTGATCTTCTAAGCTTTTCTTTGCTTCATCCCCACTCAGAGTCCCTGATTTAAATTAGTTTCCTTGTGCTTTGCTTCAAGAGCCCATATCTGACATGCACAAATATTCTGATTAACAGAGTATTTGGTTGCAAATTAATCAAAGCTTGTCTGTGTTAGATGACTATGAAATATATCTTCCAGGCATCAGCTGGAATTGGTGCTACCTGATCTCCTAACCATCTGGGAAATTCAAGGGGTTGGTATTTCAGATAAAGGTAAGAAGCTGGTCCGATACACTAATTTGAATCTGGGAATAGATAGTAATATAGCTATCATTTTATTGACAGTTCCCCGGGACTTTAGGGGGTGGATATTGGATGCTCTTGTAATCTAGGTTAAAAATGAAATATCTGTGTCTTTCAACATATTTTTTTCATTCAGTATTTTTACAACCCAGCTCTTGTGAGCAACAATTATGGGTCACAGTACCATTTTTTAAAGAATGTATATTTGACTTTCACAATTCAATGTCTCTACCCATTTAAGTGAGTTCTATAGTAATTAAATAACTTTTTGCCAAGTTGTAAAATAGGATTAGGTAAGACTGCTTAAAAACCCGTGCAACTTTATAACTACAGAACTAACAACAAGAGTCATAACCCTGGGGTAACGAGTTACACGGGGGTTCTTTATACCATCCTATTTGTATAAATCTGAAACTTTTTATAATAAAAAGTTTTTTTAAATTCTCAAATGTTTATTTTCAAAGCTTTTTACTAATGACCATTATTTGAATGTTTGAGACAAAGTTTTGTTTCTCAGCTATTCCCCCAACCTACTTTCTCACATGCATCAGGTTTTGGGTGAGCCTACCTAAAAAATCATCTGTCCCTTGTCTTGTTCTCTCTCCCATTACCTTCTTCAATGCCTCATACTATGTATCACATAATGACAGTTTATCACATCTTTGTTTATGTCTCCCTCACTGGAATATAAACTCCAAGAAGATAGCAATTTTCTCTGTCCTGTTCACTGTTGCATTTCATTGGCTGGAACAGTGGCTGGCCCACGGTAGCGTCTCCAATATCAATTCATTGAAAAAATAATGGTCATAAAATAGAAGTTTCAGGAGCAATGAGCAATATAGGCAGGAAAAAAGGAAACTCAATGTATGATTTTTTTACCCACAAAGTAACAAAAATACAAGAATTTTAATACATTGGTGTATACTCATATTGTCACGTCTCTAGGTCTATGTGTTGCTGATGTGCTGAAGTTGGAGGTTTACCAAGAGCCCTTCTCAGTCACAAACAACATTACAAGACTCTATTAAAAGGAACATTTTCTACCTAGGAATCTAAGTAAGTAGGTATGTACATGACACTAGATTCAATCACTGAGAAATCTGAAGGTAAAATCACTTCACTTTAATGCACAATGTGTCTAAGCACATGTGTGGGGGTCGTGTGAGGGTGAGGGAAGTGGTGAAGACCTTTCAAATTATAATGTATCAGGAGGAAGCTGAATGAAAATGTATATGGGAATAATATCACATTTTGTTGGGAAAGATGGGAGATCAGAGGTTTCCTTAGATAATCTGTAGAAAGAGAAAGCAGGTCAGTGGTTGCTAGGTGTTGGGGAAGAGGAGGATTGGAGAGTAACTGCTTAGTAAGTGGAACAAGAAGTGATCCACTTTGCTGAAGCTCAAAGAGCTATACTCTAATTCCCAAACACAAACATAACCCTCAAACATTGTTATCAATAAATATATATATATATATATATTTCCTTATTGCCCCAACGGAGTATCATTTTGTACTATCAGAATGTGCTTGACTAAACTTGGAATGACACCCTGCCCCCTGTTGGCTGGCTTCTGATAACCACATTTTCATTGACTATCTTCCTAGGGCCTGTGCATCCATGCCACCAACAGCCAGAGAAAGTATCTGTTTTGGTTGAATTCATGTTAGCAAAGAAATTGACCTTTTTTTTTTTTGGTGGTACTGGGGATTGAACCCAGGGCCTTCACATTGAGCTCCATCCCCAACCCTTTCTATTTTGAAATAGACTCTCACTAAGTTGCCCAAGAAACTTACAGTTCTACCTCAGCTTGCCAAGTGCTAGGATTACAAGCATGTGCCACTGTGCCACCTAAAATTCTAAAATATGATTAAGGTCTTAAAATGAAATATTTCAATATATTTCTTTTTTTTTTTTT